TTGGTCCTCACACCATATTTCATATGAGCGAGGATCTATTTGCGACTTTATTTCTGCACGCTCCCAGCGGCATTCCTATCGCGTTGGTTGTATGCACAACATATCGCCTGGCTTAAGTGGTTCCAAATCTCTGGCATGCTGATTATGGTAAAATTTCTGACGATGCTTACTGTAGTCTAATTTCCTCTTGACCTCACCAGTCACTTTCGGCTGCAGTAGCAATCCTCTTACTTGTTGGTAGCAGTGTTTTCGTTCGTCGACTTATCAGTCGCTGTGCTGGACTGGTGTTTGAGTGTTGAGTTGGAGTATTCCTCTGATCCAGTATGGCTAGGTAAGGATCTGACTTTGCAAAGTAAGCACTTGGCTGGCTTAACTGACTGTTCTGCTTTCCCGTTGCTTTGGGCATATACTGGCGAGGACGTAAGATGCTTAAAGTTCCATTGCTGTGCAAACGAATTGCGGGGTGGGCACTATATAACAACCACCGTAGCAGCGCATTCCCATAATGCTTTGCGCTGCGATAGATAACTTTCATTATGGCCACGTTATGCAATAAAGGTAGCTTCCCTCAAACTTTCAAGCGGCAAACATAAAATCAGGCAAAAATGAATTATTTTAACATTGCACGTTTGTACTTGCCTATATCAGGGTTCTCCAAGAGCACTTATAGCCCGCCAGGCTATCGTTGAGCCCCGCCATCCTAAAATGCACCCGCCACTCTAAATATCATAGCCGCCATGCTAAATATCAAATGTTTCCCAGTGTTACGTTTGCCGCTAATTTGTTCCGCTCTGCGCCCTGGCCGTGTTATGAATCATGTTATGTAAAATTATACACATTGGCACGTAATGACCCAATGGTTTTTCTGGTCACGTACATGGCTAGCTGATAGGGAAAGGGCAACGTTTTTGTTGCTGGGAGATTATAGTATTCTGAGCGAGTAAACGAGTGAGTCGAGTCGAGAGAGTCCTGCCAGGTCGCTGTTAGTTCGGATTACGTCTTGTTGGGTTTTTAGCACGTTCTATCTCGTAAACAGTTACGGTAAAAATTCTGAAATTAATAACAAACAGTCAAGGTGCTTCTCTGTGTAGACTGCAGTTTGATTTCAGAAAATGATTTATATTAAAAGTTATGACATCTGAAAGTGGCTACATTGACTCGATTGAAATGATGGTTGCTCAAATATAAATATGGAACCGTGGCGAAAAGCGCAAAGGATTATGGGAATGCGGTGCTATGGTGGTTGTTATATAGTGCCCACCGAATTGCGGTCTGTTGTCTGACATAACGAGCAAACTGTGCTTTAAGCTTCATCACCAGTCTCTGTGCTCGTATTTGGCAGATAATCGATTTTTCACCAATTGGAATAATAATCCACTGTGATCAGGTAATCCCTATAGTCAAAGAAGAATAGATCTGCCCCTGCTTTGGCCCATATTGTGTCCCGCACATCATGAGGAATGAGAGTCTCCTTCTGCTGCTTGTGATCATAAGTCCTGCACACACCACAGCGACCTATATATTACTTAACGTTGACATTCATCCCTGGCCAATAGAGTAAGTCTCGTGCTCATATCAGACAACCTTCTACTCCAATGTGTGATGAATGAATTCGCTCTAATACTTCTCCATACTGGCGAAGCTTCTGTGGCACGATCGCTCTCTCTCCACGAAATAAGATGCCATTTTGGATGCAGTTTCTCGCAGGTATAATAAGGAGGATGTACAATATAAGGTACCTTGTCCTTCGACTCCGCGGCCATCCGTGAATTATGACATTCTTCAATGTCTGCAAGCAGATATCTTCTTTTGTATTTGCCTGTATCTGCCTTAACCTATAATCTGTTATGTGTAGATGCAGCAGCATGTTCATCTTCTCTAACTGTTCCTCACTGGACGTTCTACAAACGTTGTTAGCAGGGGCTCTACTTAGAGTGTCTGCGATGAGAATTTCTTTGACCGGTTTGTTCCTACACCATATGGTTGGAGCCGAAGCATCATGCGCTGAAGTCGTTTTGGGGCTGCGTGAAGTGGCTTCTTAATTATGATTTCTAGTGGCTTGTGATCCGACTGCACAAACACATGGCATGCATAGCTGTATTGATGGAATTCCTGTAATCCACAGTTTACCGCTGACAGCTCCTTCTCGATCTGTGCATAGTTACGTTCTGTCTGGGTCAACGAACGACTTGCAAACACGATTGGCTCGCCAGTATGTCTTACCATCTGCTCAATAGTCTGGTCCACTGCAACTTGGTACAGGTTACCCTGTCATAGGCAAAGAACCAAAAGATCATAGATCTGAGAGAAGCAAAATGGAGAGTCCAGTTCACTACCATTGGAGCTCTCCCAAAGAATATTAGACATTCAACCATGCCAAGGTAGGACATTCAAAATGCAAAAGTTGAACTTTCTTCACTTATTTTATGAATTTTTTTATGATTTTGCAAAGATCGTTAGAAGTGGTTATCTTAATGAAAGCATCAGCATCAGGCAAACGAGTATTGAGGTCCCATGCAATCTTTTTCATCTTATTCTCTTCTGCAGTAAAGAGTGTTTAAGAACTCTCTCCAGCAGAGGTGTTGAATGCATCAAACACAAGTTTGTGGCATCTCATCCCTCTGTTGTAGTGGTGTCCACTCAAAACACCATTGACTGATCCTCCATCAACTGCACCTGATTTAATAAAGATGAACTGTAATTTAGCATCTCTGAAGCATGAACTTGACTGCCAGACATGTCTTTGCAGATGGAACTGTCCTAGGGCCTAGGCATACAACAATGCATTGCTGAAGCATTTAATTTATCCATATCGTTATCATATCTGCTGTGCTTTACAGTAGATTGCTTGATAACACACTAACAATATGGCTTGGAGCTCTCATTTATCGGAAAATATTTAAGCTATGAAGCAAGATGGTGTTGATAGTTGACATTTCTGTAGGGCCTGGCATCAATGACTGGCAAGTAACTGATCTTACTACCTGCTGGAATACTATCATTCTGTAGCAGAGTGTTGAATACTGATCATTCAGGAAGGGTTGCTCCTATGACCTCAGGTGTCGTAAACCAGTGCTGTTGGTTGACACTTTACAAATCCTTATGGTAGGCTCTCATTCAAGTCAATTTGTCTCCCTGTCAATGCTGGTTCGTGTTCTATTACTTTGGTGTGAGATACAAAATGCCAAGACCGTTAGGAGGCTAATGACCTTGGAGGGACCTCTTAGATGCCTTATTGTCATACCAAGAGCAAGATGCTTTGGTGTTGTCTCCCCCCCCTTGATGCCACGTAAGCTATGTCCTGTGACAAAGAAAGGAGTTTCCTGTGGCTATACTTACATATAGTCACGTACTGCGTGAAAATGGCATAATTGCTTTCTTCAGTATCCCAAGCCAGTAAGTGGTATAGCTTGAAAGATACTTCTTTTACTGTTTTCTCAGAAAAATTGCAGGCTGATGGAGGCCCAGATGAGACGGGATACTAGAGAAGCGTTTCCGAAAGGAGGTGTTGATCCCAAGCACTATAAGCGCAGATCTTGCGCGCAGTTCCGCGGCAAGGCGCACGCGACCGCGGGAACGTCCTACGACAGTATGCAGCGCTGGCAGCTATGGATCCGTGTGCCGAATGCATAGGCCGGCGCACGAATCCATAGCTGCCAGCGACCACTCGATAATTTTACCAGGAATACAATGAAACACCTCAGCTGCATTGAGCTGCTGTTCTTTGCAAGTTCAATGAAAATATCTATAAAAGTGTCAACACCTTCTACTTCTACACTGTGTTGTATAAGTTTTATTATGAATTGTATTTTATTATGCGTCAGTGCTTCATGTAACGAGCGCCAGCTGCAGGCGATACATAAGCTGGGTTTTATAATAATATATGCGGAAATAATACGCCTCTATTCATGTAAATAGAAATGCTTCACCTATATACAAACAATGACGACGTAATAATCACATATAATTGAACACAGCCAACCCCCACCAACCTGCTCCGTCCCCATATTATTGCCGATAGCCGTAATCCTAGCCGTTCAGCTAGTTGTTGAACGTTAATTTTACCAGGAATACAATGAAACAGCTGAGCTGCATTGAGCTGCTCTTCTTTGCAAGTTCAATGAAAATATCAATAAAAGTGTCAACACCGTCTACTTCTACACTGTGATGTATAAGTTTTATTATGAATTGTATTTTATTATATGCGTCAGCGGCTTCATATAACGAGCGGCAGCTGCAGCGAAAGCATTAAGCCTTGGTTTTATTGGGACCCATGTTCTCTATCCTTGGGCCGAAATGTTCACCTATATACAAACAATGACGACGTAATAATCACATAATAATCACATAGAGGTAGCCTAGTATGTTGAGTATATCCTAGGCGTTGTTGATAGCCGTAGGAGTCGGTGCTATATATGCGTATATATAGGGGTTGCACCGTCAAGGTAACTGCGAGCAGGCGAGTTCCAAGTTTTTCTGCGAAGTTTTTCTGCACAAGAGCAATCAGGGCCACCCTCGACCGCAGGGGTAGACGAAGTTTTTGCTATAAGCAGCACGCTGGGACGACGTAATATATGCAAAAATGCTGTACGTACGCTCTCAAAACGATTTCAAAACAAATACTCATCCAACAGCTTCGATCTTTGTTTCTATTTGAAGAACAGTGTTGACTTCTTATGAAAACATAACGTCTCTGTTCGTAACCGAGCTGTGTCACGCGAAATCACACAGAGACTGACGAAATTCTCGCCACGACGCCACGCCACGCGCTGACGCCACGAAGGCGGAGCTTTTCCAGATAACATCGTCATAATCATAATGGCAAACATGAGAACATCACATTGGTGCGTTAAGATGGATACGGGAAGTCGGAGCGGCAGTGACGATTGCAGGGCTAGACTGCTACCGACCTTCACTCAGCCAACTATCGTTGGCTACACTGAAGTGAGTTACGCTAGCGTGTCGAACTGTGCACCGCGCGGCAGTCTAGGTCATCGAGCCGAGCGTTTTTTTTTAAATACTTGAAAATGGTACATAGATGGACTCGTTGCGCCATCTATGGATAACTTCGAAAATAATCTCAGGGCATAAAACAGACAAAACGCTAAATTCGTTTTCTACAGGAAAAAGACGCGCGCCGAGCAGCAAAGCAACAATAACGAGCATTTGTATAAACACTCGACCTACGTGCGTAGTCGAAAGGGTTCTGCAATCGCCACAACTCCTCAATTGAGCGATTATGGGGCTTTTATGCTTACTCAAAGAGCACTGTCCAAACAGTGTTCGAAATAATGCAGCGAATAAGATTTAGGGTCGCCGCGAGGCGTTGTTCGCGCTTCGCGCGGATCCGGGCTGCCAATCATCAAGCAGCATTTAAGGTGTTTTCGCCAAAGCATTCCTTATGTGCACATAGGTGTGTATATAGTAGGTTCCAGTGGGTTTCCAGGAGGTCTTCTGAGAACAAGACCATTCCAAAATCAAGCTCACTGTTACTATCACTTCCAATGGCAGTTGAACTGTCAACATGCTAGACCACTCTTAGCGCATGTTCAAATTCACACAACACCAGCTCGCATAAATTGTCCTTATTTTTTAACAAATATCAACTGTGGGTATTTTCTCTGGCATCCCCTGTTTATTTGACAGTTTCTGCATTCCCAATTCTCAAGTGTCATCAGTTTCACCAGTCTCTTCGTATGCAAAATTTCATCTCATTCGATTGCAATTTTGGGCATCTTAAATCAATAAACGGTGGAATGCTTAGCAAACAGACAGACAGACAGAGTTCGTTTTTGTAGTAGTATCTATATATAAGGACAAGAGCATACACGAGGTCGACACTTGCCTATCTGTAGCTGACAATCGACATATATACAGACACCGTATACACGAAGCATACACGTTACACAACAAACATTGGTTATAGGTGACACAGGAACCGTGCAAGGGGACTACTCATCGCATACACATAATCTGCAGCTCATGCCATGTATATATCTCTTACATAAAGGGCGAGTCTGTTTTTGTGTCTGTCCTTCTGTCTATCTTCTCTCCCCCCTAAGAGCTCACCCCCAACACCATATATATTCTTAATCAGCATGTCGCGACGACCATTTATAAGGCCCAAAAAAAAACACAAAATAAAAAAGTTTAAAATTACAATTACAATTATTTATTATTTTAATAAATGTCCGCGCGGTGGCGCTATATACCCTCCTACTAATTCACTGCGGCCGTTCACTGCTCATCCATCGAGTGCATGTTGAATTTGCATTTTGACCGCTATTTTTCGAGCTCTATTGTCGACTATTTTTGTTAGTTCTATTAAAACCAATTTAGCTTCGAAGGAGAGACAAAAGCGTCGTACACGACTACTACTGCTGCTACTATGCTACGGTATAAATGCTCAACTTGCTGCTTATTTTTCCCGCATGCACTCAGTGTTTGTCGTTAGCACTCTCAATCAGCATATTTGCTAATTAATTACACTAATCGTGCTTCAATGGACAATAGACTCAAAATTCACAGAGATTAAGGCTAAGACATGTCACATGATGTGTAGAATTGTAACTCAAATTGTTCGCTCCATATGATAGTTAGTACATGTTCCTACTGGTCATAGCATAATAGCGGGAGTGGGCGGGGTCTATTTTTATCCTCCAATCACAGGTCGGAGCAAATCCTCTGTTTAGACGCATGTATCAGCATAATGTGACGACCATTTTAGGCCAAAGAAATCAAAAAAAATACAAAAACTACAAAAATCTGAAATTACAATTAAAATTATTCATCTCTTACATAAAGGGCGAGTCTGTTTTTGTGTCTGTCCGTCTGTCTATCTTCTCCCCCCCCGTAACAGGTCATCCCAAACACCATATATATTCTTAATCAACATGTCGCGACGACCATTTATAAGGCCCCTAACTATCTATTTAGCTTCGAAGGAGAGACAAAAGCGGAGAGACAAAAGCGGTTATCTATCTATTTGGTAAGCGTCATAGACGACTACCATATAGGTATAAATGCTTAACTTGCTGCTTATTTTCGTATTTTCGAGTGTTTCGTATTCATCTCCTACAATAAATCGCCGGATCTATCTGATTCTGTCTGTCTGTCTTCTCGAGACCAGTAAGAGGTGACCCGTGAGGTATATTCTCAATCAGCATGACGCGACGACCATTTTAGGCCAAAAACAATTTGCACAAAAAGGCCAAAATAAGGGCAAAAAACAAACAACACATTTCCCCCCATTAAACAGCAATCCTATAGCGCTCAACAATCAGGCTCAACAGTCAGGCTCAAAATCAGGCAATCGCATGAAATGCGAATAACGCAAGCAATAGCAGAAAACGCATGAAATAGCAGAAAAGCAGTAACCCCAAAAAATCCCGGGCATCGCCGGGTAGCCCAGCTAGTGACCTATATGTCACATACATATGGCCTACACGCCACATATATGTAAACTTCATGACACATATATATGACCAGGGTGCGAAATTAGCACCAGCCCACCGGCATATGCCGGCAAATTATTTGGAAAGCCGATAACATTGGCAAAACACCGGCTCGGAGCAGCCTTGTTAGCGAGTACCAATTAACATTTTTATTTATAACATTAATGAAAAAATAGCCTACAATACTGTTTTACCTGAAGGACATCACGCTATAAATCATCAACATTTTACAAATATGAAATCAAGAATGCAAGCGTGAAACATGACATTGATTTTACAAACAAAATTTGTGAGGGCTGGTAAAAAAAATGCTGCTACCAGCCCTCTGGGCCGGTACAAAAAAATCGCAATTTCGTGCCCTGATGACGTACGTGTGAAGTAGATATAACAAACATGAACTACATGTCATATGCATTTCATCTCTGTGGTATATAAGGAAGGTTTCATAATGGAAAAGTCACCTATATGTCACATGTTTCACTTATATGAGACATATAAGCACACTTTGTGAGTGACAGGCAGGCATATATTACCTGTGACAGGGTTGACATGCTCCTCCAATTTGCAGAGAGCTTTTAATTCTAAGCTGAGCCAGGAAACGAGCCGTGAAAATTCTGGTGATGCAGGGCTGGCGTTCAACCACTTGACCAACACATCGTCTGTAATTTCTTCATGGTACCTAAAATTTCACGCAGTATAACCAAACTGTTATGGTTAAAATTGTGCTATGTATGTGCGTATACCCATCAAATATTTGGGTGTATTAGTAATTCACTACGGGCTATCTAAATTATTAGTCCTTTAATTAGTCTGCTTGACTAAGAATAACAGGTCATGTCCATCTACCTTCACATATATCTAGCTAATACATGTTTTCAAAATGTTAGGATTTTGTTGTATTATAGTTTGTTATGAAAACCATTTTTAAATGGTTTCAAAGTGTTAATTATAACATATATATGTAGATTATAAAAAAAACGTTTAATTGACGTTTTTTAACGTTCATGATATTGTTGCAAAATGGTTCAATAAAAACTTTTGGAACAAAGGTTAAACATTAATAATAAGGTTATATGTAGGTTCTTTTCTCTTATTAAGGTAAAGTATATATATATATTATATCAAGAGTACATAATAGAGAAGAGTATGACACTGTTTTAACAGCGATTTGCATAGTTTTCAACTTGAATTTATTCTATCAATAATTTATATGTGAATAAATAAATAATATTCAAACTATATACCTTGTTTTGTTCTCTGATTCTCCCTAAATCATATGACACCACCAGTTTACCTGAAAATCGTATGTGTTCTTCAAAAAGTTCTTTGAATATGACACGCTTTCACACAGTTTTCCCCGTGATTTGCTTTTCTCCGACTAAACTTGATATAGCGCGGCAGCACCAGATTGTTACTACGGGACGCTGGGGGCTGTTGGGGATATTAGGCATCGAATTGTATGCAGTGTGTAATGTGTTTCCAGCGTGCTAAAAATAAATGTGTGCTCACGGCGAGCTAGCAGCTGATTTTAGATGTGTTGCCATCGTGTTCCTGATGATAATGAAGCGAAACAAGTGCTGTTACTGTGCTTACCTAATATCCGCCAACAGCCCCCAGCGTCCCGTAGTAACAATCTGGTGCTGCCGCGCTATATCAAGTTTAGTCGGAGAGATGCAAATCACGGGGACAACAAGAAATGTCGTAATCAAAGAACTTTTTTGAAGAACACAAGATTTTCAGGTAAACCTGTGGTGTCATATGATTAAGGGAGAATCAGAGAACAAAACAAGGTATAGTTTGAATATATTTATTCACATATTGATAGAATAAATTCAAGTTGAAAACTACGCAAAACGCTGTTAAAACAGCGTCATACTCTTCTCTATTATGTACTCTTGATTACATGTAGGTTCTTATTAGGCATGTTTACCAAAAACATTTTATTGACGATTTAATTACAGTATGGTCACAAAATGCTTAAATGGAAATGCTGGGAGCAAAGATTTTGCTAACGTTCCATAAACATTCATAACAAGGTTATATGTATTGAAAAACGTTTAGCAAAACTTTTCGTTGGCAAATTATTAACGTTTTCAGAATGGTTGCAGAATTTTTCAAGTTAAGTTTCGAATTACCTTAGTACAAATGGTAGAAGAATGGCCCGTGGAGTTATTAGCCGTGAGCCATTAGTCATTACTTTCGAGTCATTAGTTATTGGCCATGAGTTGTCGGAGTTGCGGCCGTCGGACCCTCACTAAGAAGGGGGGCATCGTAGTGTGACGCATGCATAGATGATGCAATCGGGAGAATAGGCCACCGGCCATAGACGGGCGAAATCCAGGGATGTTTCTGGTTACGTCACCGATCAATGTTGTGGATCACCACGTGACACTTGACTACGCCGGGACATATATAAGGGAGAGAAAGGAAGATGTAAGAAAAAGAGATATAAGGTGGAGGCCGGGAGAGGCCAATGTGGAGAGCGGTCGGAAGGAGACGAGAGTGGTTAGAGATACGACTGACGTTTGTAACAGTGCAGAGCAACGAATAAAAGAACAATTTCCTGTGAGACTGCGTTTACGCCTTTTACGATACGTGTCGTTTAAATACCTCATTACAACAAGTGGCAAATGCTATTAAATGCTATCATTCCACCCACAATGTAGTACCACGAAAAACAGGAGAAACGCATATTACGTGTTTGGCCTCACACACTCAAACATGCGTTAACTACTGCGATGTGACATTACTTTTGTTATTTACAATTTTGTGGCAATTTTGAAAAGGTCGTTAATCCCTCAAAAAATGTACTTATCTGTCACTTTGACGTGTATGTCGCCATGTCAAATGTATGTCAAGTATAAGTGACCTATATGCAGGGCGCGAAATTAGCACCGGCCCACCGGCATATGCCGGCAAATTGTTTGGAGGGCCAGTAACATTGGCAAAACACCAGCCCTCCGAGCCGGTGGTTTCAGCCGTGTTAGCGAGTACCTACATTTTATTTATAGCCTACATTATTTATAGCAAATAGCCTACATTTACAGACTTACTGTTTTACCTAAAGGATATCACACAATAACTTATCAACATTTTACAAATATGAAATCGAGAATGCAAGCGTAATACATGACATTGATTTTACAAACAAATTTTTGTTAAGGGCTGGTAAATTATGGTCTTACCATAAGAGACGTATATATAATATATGTGACTTATACGTGACTCGTACTTCAAATTGCAAGAGGTTTATAAGCCACGTATCAGGGGTAGAAATTAACTTTTGAATACGGGAGACCAACGGACTCCCTACCCTCAAAACGAGGGAGTCCGCAGCAAAATGAGGGAGTACGCAGCAAAATGAGGGAGTCCGCAGTCCGAGGTTCAACATTAAAGATATTAACAATAACGCATGTGCTTATTTTAAGATTCATGCGGTTGCACGTCTGCCAATTTTCTTTGAACATTAGCTGAAAAAATATGGTAATTCCGCGAGGCCGTGCTCTGGAACTACGAACTAACTCTCGAACTAGTTAGTATAGCAGAATTTTCAGGGAGTCACACGGACTCCTGCACATGTCAAATCAAGGAGTCCGACAGTAAATGAGGGCGTATTTGACTCCGAACTCCCGGCGTTAATTTTGCACCCTGACGTATAGATAGGGCGCGACTGATAAATGACTTATACTTGTACTTTTATAGGTCACTTACATGTCACTTATACTTATATTAATATTATATATATGTGATCACATGCAGTCTCTGATGATATATAAATACAGCTTTATGGCTTTTTGTTTAAAAAAAACAAGTTCAAATTCTAATGTTCTTAAAGTTATAAGTGACCTATTCACATATATATATAACAAGAGTAACTAGACAGAGGGCACTCACGGAGAGTGCATACCAGTGGGAAAAATACACGGGCGTGGCGGGCGATTTCGCCCCCGAAATGCCAAAAAGAGCCCGCCAAAAACATGATATCGGGGGCGACCCCAAAAGAAAAAGTCGCCCTGGAAATCGATTGTCCAGGTCGGTCCCGCTCCTTGCCGCTCTCGCTCGGCGTTGCTGCGCTGCGATGCCTAGGCCTCTGCCGCTAGCGACAGCCGGTTCCACGGCGCGGTAGAATTCATGGTACTGTGGAGATTTCAGGGGGGGAGTGAAGAGTTGTGGAGAGTTCAGGGGGGATGACGTCATACAACCAGACCAACCACCGCAACAGAGATGGAGAGTTTTCCTGAGGGAAGGGGGGGCTCCCATAAGCAGCCGATGTGGGAGGTCAGGGAGTTGCACCATCACGTACACGCGCCGGGCGAGAGAGTGGCGCCAGCGAGCACGTGGTAGACAAGGGGGTACGACGCTCGTGCGTATACTCAACCAAGGGGGTTGCATCACCTGTACACGTGTTAAGCGAGGGGAAACAACGGTTAGGCACCCGACGTAGTCCATCACTTCTGACACCGGCACGGGACAGGGAGGCGCCGCCGGTATCCTATGTCACCGCGGGCTCCTATATAAACGGCCAAGATCCAATGGTAAAGTCAGTCAGTCTTCGGACAGATACAAACAAACGAACGAACACGAACGGACAGATACGAACGAACGAGCACGAACGGACAGATACGAACAAACGAGCAAACGAACGAACGGACACGAACACGAAGGGACGAACGAACACCAACGGACAGACACGAACAAGCAAACGAACGAACGAACGGACACGAACACGAACGAACGAACGAACAAACGAACGGACGAACGGACAAACGGACAAACGCACGCACGCACGCACGCACACACACCGTCGGAGGGAGAGCACGCACACACACCGTCGGAGGGAGAGCACGCACACACACCGTCGGAGGGAGAGCCCTGCGAGCCGGACAACGCCGAGAAGGTATACCTTATATATACTAAGGAAGCTATCGCCGACACACGACAGGGAGACACACGGCCAACCCACGAACTCGCGGCGAGCCGCGAAGCACACGACCGGGAGAGACAGAGACGGCTACAATATTAACCTATAGAAAAGCTAAGAGAAGTAAACGTGTAATCGACTAACGAAATAACGTTAACGTGGCACGAACAATATATATTATACATATATATATCTATACGCTATATTCGAGATACGTGCAGTGAGTGTGTTATCCGTATATGGTTATCGAATAATCTATCAGTTGTATAAATACTATCTAAAGACTTGCGTTTCAAATTTCACTCTGGTTTTCCTGCTACTGCATCACCGTCCTACCTTCGCGGTAGGAGCGAAAAATGATCCCGCAACAAATAAATTCCACGTGCTAACCACAGCGCGTGGGAAAATCCAGTGTGGTCACCCCTAGCGCCACCACAGTACGGTGTGACTGTCAAGTGTTTACCATTTATGCATGCATGTGTGTACTGTACTGTATTGCATTCAATCAAGCGCGCGCCGTTGCCCGCACGTATATATACAGTGCTCGAAATAAGCGTTGTCCGGTTGTCCGAGACAACCAGAATTTGAGCCGGACAACCTAACCAGTCTGAGACATTGTTCGGTGGACAACCAAGAAACCCTAACCCTAACACTAACTCTAAACCAACTCGGCTATCTTATATATACGCGTGTTATAGTATATAGTACCCAATTAATCTATGGTGTATAACCTTTTGCTTTCAATATTTTGCATCTGA